TTGTGGGGGGTGCTGGCATGGTCTGGGGGCTAAGCCACCTGGCAGGGGTGCAATGGTGGAGCCTCTAAGTGGCCCGTTACCGGCATGAGAATTAAACAAATAAACATGCTACATAGCCACTTCTCCTTTGAGTGTCGTTTTCGGTGTCTCCCTCGGTCACCCTCCCGCGTGGGCCATCACAAAGTAGCCGGTGCTGTAAGAGCCAACCGCACTAGTCATAGAATTTTCATGCAACTGGCTGCAACTTTACTGATCCCTCTCAGCAATTTCACTGGATCTGGACTTTCGTCCTTTGCGGGGATTGTATTGGGGAGACGAGGGAATGGGTTGCCTATCAAGCATAAATGGATAACGCTGTAGCATACCGAGACCTCCTTGAAGGCGAAGGAAGATATAATGCTCGGACATGACCCAGAGGTCAGGCCGCCCGGAGGAGGTGCAATGGCGGAGCCCCTAAGTGTCCCGTCACCAAAGCCAGGGCTTAAACAATTACCTAACGTATTACACCGCCCAAGCAGGTGTCTGTGCGCCATCGAGGTGTAAACGTTTTCCATAATTTGAAAGAAAGGGATTATTTTGTCTCATAAGTTCTCAGTTCATACTAAACAGTCGAACAATCAAATAACCACTTCGCATCCATTTTAAGTTGAAGTTGCTTGAAATATTTGGTAGGAGTTGTTCTCACTGCCACATCTCTTGACTGTATCCTTCAACCGCGACACATCGAATATCTGAGGTTGTTTTTATTGCCTTTTAGCTTTTTGGGTCCTTGGATAAAATCTACAAGAGTAGTATCGCTATAAATACCCTAATATTTGATATGTCGCCGTTTAGGAGTCTGGAGTATTTGGAAGTGAGTTATCTCTTTTTTCACTATTGTCTCTTCATAAAGGTGGTGTTGTTGTTAGCGTTGCATTTGCTAATTTGTTTACCAGAAAACTGATAGAGCTTATGAATAGGCTTCTGGATTCAGTGGAAATATTTTTTTACGCTAATCAGATTCGAAACCTTAAATGATAACTGAAATTAAAGGAGATTAAGATGGATCTTTTAAGAAGAAGGTGGACGGTACAAAACGGGCATCGTTCACATCACTTACAGACCTTAACTTTTTATCATTGCCCTAATCAAGCCCTGATGATATGAATGTTTCACGAGTTTTATCCTCCAGCACAGTGCATAAAGCAGTATTAAAAATAGATGAGCTTATCTTCTTTCGGGTTACTACCATCAGGACCGTTTAGAGGCGTTTCTTCAATTGTCATTGTCTTTAATCACTTTGCGCCATCTCTCTAACAGAAATGAATTGACCTTTGCCCTGGGCTTTTTATCCTTCAAAGCATTTTCTTCTGCTTATTTACGATTTCTTTCGTGATATCTAGTTGAACAACGTGGATCTTGGTTGTATGCGTGGCTTTGAGCACATAAAAGCCACAGTTATTCAGTTGGTTGTTCATCACAGCCTTAAAAATCTCAAGGTGAGTGAGCAGTCACACCTTCCTTCTTCAACAAAGTAGTCCGCTCTATTGGTGTAATGAATTGTTCCGCTACTCATGTGTGGGAGTATTTTACTTAATGTGATCAAGCATGGAAATTGTACCTTTTTGTTGATGCTTCTTACCAAGGTCGTTACTTTGTTACTAGTACTCTCCCATAAACAGCTTCATCATCGCGAGTAACCCGATTAGTAGCTCCAGGCAGCCTCTTTCTATCAGCCCCATAGCACTTTACAAAATTTTGGATATGCCCGATTAGGAGGATACGAACGAATTAATTTCTGACGCCCGATTCAATATTGCTAATTTTTTTGTGTTTAATGCTTTCTTTTGTAGAATCTTATGTTGGGTGACCTTTTTGCCGCGGGGGGTGGAAACTGGGTTTATGGAGAGAATCCAGTGCCAACTCTACCCTGGGATCAGATCAAAATTGCCGACTTCTCTAATAACTTCCTTCACCTTCTCGACCAAACTATTGTTAGTTTTCACACCCCTTTAATGAAAACATTTCCATTTCAACATTGTCACTAAGTTCCACCCCTTACAGGCCCTCCTACCAAATGTTGAGATTCTCGATCTCTCAAACAACCTTCTCACTGAACTTGCGCCTCTTTCATCGCTGTCACGTCTGCGAGTGCTCTATCTATCTGACAACCAGCTCTACATCGGTGAGGAGACAAATCCTTTCCCTGCCGAGGTTTGCGAGGATGAGGTGGATATTCTAGAGGCTCTGGTGCTCGCCTCCTCCGCGGGTACCATCGACTCTGCCACGGAGCGACGCAGACCTCTCCAGACGCCGCTGAAGCCCCTTCGTGAACGCGTCGGTGAGATTCAAGTTCTCATGCTCGCCAGAAATGGCCTTCGTTCGGCGGCTCTCGTAGAAGGTCTTTTTAGCCTTCAGCATCTAGATCTTTCTGACAACAAGATTGAGTCGGTAAGCGAGGTCATGCACACCCTACTTATTTGTTTATTAGTAGAGTGTTATTTATATTCTTTTCGCAGTTTGAGGAGCTGGTCTACTTGGGTGAACTACCACATTTGAATTCGCTGGAGCTGTCGGGAAATCCGATTTGTGATGATCCCTACTACCGACGAAATGTGCTGAATGTTCTGGGTCCGAGGTTCCCATTGGTAGGTATCCTTTCTGCAAAAAAGCTAATTCTGATGCCTTTAGATTGTCCTAGATGGAAAAAGGGTGACCGCGAAAGAGTATGAGAATGTTCGGCTTCATCAGGCTCTCATGAAGGGTGGTGTCGTCTCCCAAGCATCTCCATCGAATGGCTTAAGGTCAGGAGCTCCACCACTATCATCTACGGGTTCATCTAACCAGATATCGGATCAACGAGACTACATAAATGATCAAGTCCACATTAGTGAAAAAAGCGAACCCGCTTTCACGCAAGCTCCTAAGAACAAATTGGAACTGTCACCCGAAGAAAATATCGGCTTGGCTAAGAGCAAGACTTTCATGTCCAGCTCCCCTGGATCGAACGTGCCGGTGGCTGAAATCGACTATTTTCGCGGTGTATCTGAAGTGGTTACAGGATCGCCCTCAAAGCCTTCCGAAATTGATTTATACGTACAAGAAAGTGATATTTTACATCAGCCTTCACAGCTATTGGAGCACTCGTCTTCCGAAACTCTTCAAAAGACGGCTGTCTCAGTAACTGAAAATTTTCCCGATCATCATGAACGCAAATCTATAGTTTCGATAAAAGGCCACGCTGATACAAGTGAGTCTCGACCGGACGCACAAAAAAACTATTTCTCGGCTGATCAGTCGCCTGGGAAACAAGTCAAGATGGACAGTCAAAGAACAGAAGACACAAAAGATACTTCGAATGAAGATGCGCTGGATTCCTCAGACATTCATCAGACGCCTCCTAGTGTTGATGACGCTGCTTCTTCGAAAAATGTTGTCATTGAGGGTGTAATGGCCGAGCCTTTGCAATCCAAGGGAGCCGATATTTCTAGAAGCACTTGCGAAGAGGATACTTCAAGCCTTTACCAAATTACTTCAGCTGAATCAGAAGTGTTCGCGAGCGACTCAGCTAATGTAATTGGGTTACACTCGAGCACTCAGCAAGATCATTTCTCAGCTGAACAGCATAATGAAGATGAATCACTATTGCAAAGTGAATCTAGTAATTGTGCGACTGAATGTGTTAAATCTGTTTCGAACGTAAACGTGGCTGACTCATCAAACATTCATCAAACTGAATCGAAACTGTTGACAAATGAACCCAATGGATTAGCCTTAGACACCCAACAAACTGGCCTCTCTATTGAGCGACCATCTGAAAAACTTGACACGACGATATCATTATCACTAGAAGAACAAGGTAAATCGAGTAATCATGTGACAGGGGATACAAATACTCCAGATTCGGTGGGTGCTAATCCAATGCGTTCGAATATTTGTGACTCCAATAGTGAACATTCTTCCGAAGAAAGATATGGAGATAAGGAATCTGAGTCTTTACCACCCATGGAACGGTCTTCTGTTGACAAACCAGACCAAGGGACTAATTTTCCTAATTGTGACTCCGGGAAGGCATCTCCTAATCTTCATCTTCCACCTTCAACTGAACATTTGCCGTCAGTAACTGAATTTATGACTAGTGATGATCCTTCCAAGTTACTAGCGGATTCGCAAAAATCATCGAGTGAGAAATTGGGCTCCGATCTCGACTCCCCTCCAGGACCTAAGGGGGGTGCTTTATCGTCATCACAATAACGGGTCCCAGTTTCGGGAGAGATTATTTTCCAAAAGCGATATTTATTGACTGGTGAACTATCATTATTTGCTTCCGATTTCGCTTCCTGACTTCCTCATCCACTCTGAATGGTTATTTTCCTTTCTGTCGTAGTGTTACACTCACTTCACACATCCTGATTGATTGTATTTTTATATTTCTAACTCCTCTTTACATCTTTTAATGAAAAGAATTGCCGGGAGTGCCTTTTTTTGCGACTGACTGGCTACTAATGCTTTATCGACTTGTCTGCTCGATAATATATTTTCGTTGTTGTTTGTTCTCCTCTTATTTTAGTTATGACCTCTAGTCTGTACGATGGTCTGGACGATGTGGAATTGAGCAAGGGAAGCGGTGCCGGTGGTGGTGGTAGTAGCGGTGGAAGTGGATGGGTTCTTGGAGGCACTGCAGGTGCTTCTTCTGGCTCTACAACGACAACAACCACTGGAATCGGTCGTCTTGTTGCAGCTGCCTCAGGCAACACCACCGCCCCGGGTGGTTATTCAGGGTGAGTTACTCCTTTGAGTCTTTTTTTAGCTGTAACAGGGGCTTCATGTGCCTCCGGTGATTCTCCGTTTTTTTCCGTCTTTTTAAGTTAAAAAGCAGTATCTTTTGCAGCTTGAGTTCTTTCTTTTACTCCGATTTCACCTACTGAAGGCCTCTGCCACATGAACAAGCACACCATCTGCCAATATGATCCTGTTGAGCAAACACCCAGTTAATATCTTTGTTGGTATTTTTTTCTAATCGCATATAGCCGTCCGGTTCTCTCATGCAGGGATTAGGGGATGTTTTATTGACTGATCCCACGAATTACCTCGGTTTCGGTAGAATGATCGCTTCCCCATAGTTCTCCGTTTCTTTTACTCCACCCATGGAATCCCGTATAGGGGTTTCTTTCTTTCATGCCTTGTCATTCCTGGCGCATGTAGAAGTTGGTTTGCTTTCTACTGCAGGCATTAGCTCAATCTCACGAATCTTCATTTTTAAGAATTACGGTGGTCTTATCTGCTTTTCGGAGGCATATTTTGCAACCTCTAAGACAGCCTTAAACAACTTTTATAACATTAGATTTTTAGAATGGTTTTATCTCTCCAAAGCAAATTTTGTACGTGTGTTTGGCATTCACCATGATTATTGCCCGAAACGTCACTTCATTTTACTCGTCACAATAGGTTTGAAGCAGTGTTTTACTGAACCGTAAATAAATTGCAATGTTTCGATTTTTTTCCTCAAATTTACATTATAACGCTTACAAGTTGCAATATTATTAGACCAGTTGAACATGCTCAGATTTTCTGTCGCCTTATATCTTTTGGGATACAACATTTGAGCTCAATCGTTCATTTCTCCAATAGCTTATTTCCTTGCCTTTAAAACTCAATGAGTCTCTTTGCTTGCCTGGTATTTTGTGCATTTTGTTTCAATTTAATGCACTTGATGTATGCCACTACAGATAAACGCTTTCGCCAACTCGATTTTACCCTCCTCCAGTTATTTTAATGCATCTTGAGTCTTAATTCTCGCCTTTTCATGTTCTCTTTTCCCCATTACTCGTAGAATGCAGCTAATGCAATCTCACATGGCGGCAAAGCGCGCTCAGGGTCGGCGTGGCGGCGGTGGTGGCGGCGGCAGCAGTGACTACGCCTCCCGATCCGCTGTAGCTCCAGTTGTCGATCTGCATCGTCGAGGCGCTGGTGGGGGTGGGGGCGGTGGTAGTGGCACTAACGCCGAGGGCTCCTATCGGTTAGTTGCCCCAATTCTTCTTTCTATAGCTCACGCTAAACGACGCCTATTCTGCCCTTCAAATCCTGTTTTTCTGTGGGATTTACTCTGTCCTATCACAACACTTTTAAGCGCCATTCACCTCTCCAAATGATAACCGTCGTTTATTCAATTTGCGGAGCTCCTTAAACCGATCGAGTGCATTTGGAGGCGTTCCTGCAGAAGTAGAATTTTAATTTCCTGTCAGTGGAAGCGACTTTAGCGAGGACGCATGAAAAGGCTGGAGGACTATTAACTTGAGTAAGAGGAACACTACTTCACACCACTGACATCGTAGCCAGACTACTGGAGACTGAAAAGCGCTCTTATCGTACTGCTGCAATGTTCTCTCTCTGTGGTTACTTTTCTGGTTTTTAAGTAAATTTGAAATCCATCGCTAAGGTGGTACAAAGATGATACAGTCTGTTGACACCCCAGCGTAATTGCTCTTTATTTCATCAGTGGTGGTGCATCGTGCCCTCCGTTAGGGGAACTACCTTGGGAGAGGATTCATTTGGGCGGCCCTCTTGACCGGATGGAATTTTACAGGGAGTACACCTTTTTTGTTGGAATATTTGTCTAAGGGGGACCCGGCAGTCACTGTTTCCAGACCATTGTCACGAATTACTGTTCATAGTGGTATTTTGAGCAGTTCTTGAAGAAGTTACCAAAGGATTTTTCTACTGGATCTCTACGCCATTTGTCCTCCTTCCGCGAAATTTCGGCATAGTACCTGGCTTCTACTACTTTGTTGCAGCGGTGTACGAGATCAAGAATACTTTCAATGTTAATGCCCATAAGGGCCATGGGGCTATTGGTACGACTGCAATATCAGCGAGGTTGATAGTCTTTGCAATGTCAGTGCTATTCTACTGCGCTGTTTGATTTGTCGATTTTCAACTTGTCATGCTCTCCATATGAGATTGTGTAAGTTTCTTAAAACCGCTCCTATATAGCTTCTTTATGTGCGATCAAGTATATCAAGAGAGCCTCCTACATCTGCGTTTCCATCTTCTCGTAGAAACTTTTGGTTTCCAACATGGTTTGATTTGGATTTTTGCCGTGTAAATATCTTTTCGGGAGGAAATTCACTGGCTTGACTTTCGTCAACCACGTGGTGCATTTGATTCGTATCTGTAAAAAAGAATGCTAGGAGCTGTAACGGCCTTATTTGTGGTCAATCAATCTCCGAATAGTGCAGATCCGGCCATACCTATACTGGCACCGTCTTGATTAGGGTGTCGGTTACACTGCTGTGGCTGTCACCTATAAACACTGATATTTTTAGCTATTAGCTAGCCAATTCAAGCTTGCAATTGTGCTTCCAGCCGGTGCAGTGTAGTTTGAAAATTTGCCCTCATCTCTGGCAATTCTTTGTCTTTCTCGTCATTCACCTCAGCCCCCTCGCTTCATTCAGCAGATGCCATTTCCTTCCATTGCTTTTTTGTCAAGAAGCGACTCCTTTGTTCCTCCTGTGGTGGCTATCAAAACGACCCCAAATCAACAATGTTTCTTTTTTGGAGAAAGTGGTGCTTTTCTAGCATGATTTTATTTGTGAACTCAAATGCTTTCTTTAATGCCGTAATGACGACACCCCACGGCGTGGTGCCAAGTAATTTAAAATTGTTTTCTTTAAAATTGAAAGGTAGAATTTAGGTGGAGTCTTCAAGTTAAACCGGGCCTTTGAAGATAAATCAGTTGAAAGGATGAAAAGCTGGATTTATTTTTAAGAGGGATCCTCGCAACCTTGGTGGACTCATCTCTCTGCGTTCAATATTAATACTGGGAAGGTTGTAGCTGTTAAGGTTTTATCGGTGCGGTTGAACCGTCCTAGGACGGTCTCTTTCACTTCGTTATCGATGCTGAAACACTCACTTCCAAAGTATCCTTATCCACCCACACAGGAGGATGTACCCAGGGCTCGTCACCTGCAATGATGTGATCCAGAAAGCCCTCGTCCTCCTCATTAAAGCGGTTTTCAGTTCAATACGCCAGGCAATTATCATGTGCTGGTTAAAAGTGGGAAACTGCCTCAATATTCAGCTTGCGCTAATTTCGAAATGGTGAATGGTCGTAGCCGTTTGTGGGCACCGTTCCTACGAAAGATTCATTTCTTGTGCAGGTTCACAGAACCGATTGCTGGGGTGAAAACCACTGTCTTAGGGGCTGCCACTGACGTACAGACTTTTACGGTGGAGCGTCGCCAACAATACCATACAAACGCTCCTTGAAATCTTTTGTACAGGTAGATACCTACAGGTTTGGTTTTTTTTGCCTTTGTTGACAAGACGCCTTGGTTCTGACTGCAAAATATTGCAAGCACACACACTGCCACTGCTGCTTGTAGCCTTGATTAAGGGTGTCCGGGTCGGACCACGTAAGACCTGTGCGCTAGCTACCAGCACTGGCAATGAGGTCCAGTCACCACGTAGTACTACATGTCCTGCAGTCACGGTCCCAGTCGTTTTTACGCATGTGTGTAGAATAAAAAATTTAGATCATGTTTGGCTGTCACTTGTAACACTAATACCACGCAGTAACAGATACCAATGTTTTCAATTTGCTTAAATCACCAAGCAGGACTGGCCAAGCGTTTGATCATTTCGTATAGCTGAAATTTTATTATCTAATGGTAGCAGTTTCTGTTCGCTAAGCCTTCCTCAGCCTGAAGTAGTTCTGTCTGCGTTCTTCATCATTAACCCACTCCTTGTTACCTTTCCCAGCTTTAATCAAATGACGGGTAAGATGGAACGCGTCACCTCTGCGCCGACATCGTCGTCTTCTTCAACAAGTCGCGGTACGAGTGGATCTTCTCACTTCACCTCTTCAGTGACCTCGGGTCTGCTCTACGGTGAACCGAGCTTGTCTCTGGGCGTGGCGGATGAGTACAACCCTCTATGCCCCAACGACTATGAGGAATTGTCGAGACAGAAACGCGAAAAACGGAAAGCTGATGTGAGTTTTGCCTCTTTCTAATGCAATAGGCTTTTATCCAGTCAAGTCGACTTGAACCTCGCCTTTGGCGTTGCGGCGTTCATTTCGCCGCAGAAATTAGGGTTGGAGATGCGGTGGATTAGACGCGTGGAATTTGTTCCTCTGTTTCATTTACCCATTAACTGTCACTTCTTTGGTGCTCGAGGAAGTTAGCAATGGTCAAAGGGGAATTGGAATTCCTCATTTAAACTTCCTGTATGTGTCATAATTTCTCAAAAATTTTTCACTTAATGAACTTTTATTTTTTTGTAAAAAGGGTTTGAGTTTCTGTTTGGAAGATCGAAGGTTCTCTCGTTTAAGTCTGTTTTCCTTCATAAAAGCAGATATCGTTGCCTATGGACTTGCACACCTATCCGCCATTGGATTTAACTAGGAGAGGTTAAATCATCTTAAGTTATTGCTTTGCAGGCTACTTAACTTGGAGGCGGTCATTAATCATGCATGAGTTACTTCTAACATTCTAAGTAGGTTAGATTTGTTGGTCTGTAAAATCAACCAATCGGCGCTACAGTTCGGTGCTACCAATTGCCTTATCAATCACTCAAAATCAACTCCTGTTCTACTTGTAAAGTACACTGAACTCTTAGCTCTCTGTAGGAAGTAATGCTCGCTGAAAACTTAGAACCGCTTTGCGTGCTCGATGATTTGGCCTTCGGGTTGAATTTAATTATTAACACCAGCAATTTTATGATTGCAATAAATCGTCTCCTCAAAATTTAGTCGTTCAACCGTCGTGTTGGCAGTTTTTTCCTCTTCAAAAAAGTGAATATGTCCTGCGGGGAAAAGGAAAAGATGGGGGTGTCTTTTTAGACCAGTGATTTCACACACACACACACCTCGGGTAGCAGATTTGAATCCTTTTAGCCCGATTTGGATATGTCAAGTTGGCTTTCTGGTCTGTGTGGGACGAAAAGCTTTCTACGCAAATGCGATTGAGCTTCCTTCTATCCTGCGAAGTAGTGCGTAACAGCCGCAGTGTGGATAATTCCTCCCGTCTAAAGGGAGAGAGGAAGGAGATAACTAGCACAAGCCTGCTGCTTCTACCAGTAACCTTTTCATGAAGGCACCTTTTTGACAACGCCAAGCTATCCTGCGCATAGTTAATCTCAAGTGTTGTTGGTGTTTTTTTACCATAAAATCGTTTACTGGAAAAATCGCATACATTTGCGCTTATGATGTAGATATAGTTAAATTTTGCCACATTCAACATCCAAACTACAGTGTGTAGTCCTAGTATGGAAACTTTTCTACTTTGGGTCCAAAATTTATCTATCAGAGAAACACTTAATATTTCCTCTCTTTCTAGAAATAAAAATGAGATCCACTTTTTGCCCGTCTTTGTATTTTGAAACATATTTCATCCTTGTGAAAGCCTTTCAGCTCTGGGAAAAAGACAACAATTTGACGTAAATTCTTATCGAAGGCATCGAAAGTGATACCTAGCATCAAACTTCATGGAAAGATCTTTGCTGCTCCCCGAAAAGAAGCTAGACCCTTGGATTAGCCAGGGTTCGTGCTTCTCAACTGCCGGGTTTGAAATTTTCGTGAACTAGTTTGCACTTTAGGCCCTTTGAAGAATTACCCCTGCAATGGGCGACATACTTTACTCGGCAAACAGGAACAAGCAATCATTTTTTATTTCGTCAAACTAAAAATCTCGGACGTGGTTTAAACTTAGCACACCCCTTTATGTTCTGTAAATTTTCTTTAGATCAGTATTCAACTTGAGCGTGTTACAAAATTTTCAAAATCCCCTAACAGATTTTGTGGCTTCATTAACCTGGGTTCTAATAGGGATTCTTTCTCTTGTGTTGACGAAGTCCGTATAATCTGGTCAATGCAGGCTTAATTAATGTGGGCTTGTACTAGATCAAATTTGAGAACTTTGTAACAGTGGAACTGGGTCAAATGGTTTTGCGCTTCCTCTTTTTCGATCTCCCAGGATCGGACGCGTGACTCGCATGGTGGGGATGGATTTAGTCGCCGACCAAACCTCTCGGGCAGTGATAGTGGTAATAGTTCGGACAACTCGGGGGATGATCGCGACGATCGCGGCCGTCGAGTTCGCTCGCATCACCGACGAAGACCCCCTCCGCCTCCGCCAGCTAGTCGGGCCGCTATCGCTCCACCCAGCAGTCTCCTCGAGGATGTTGTCGTCACTCCCGGCTCTGACTCGGCTGCCACTACTACTGCCGGAAACACTGCCGCTACCGTCGATACTGATGCAGACGAATTTGGTGACTCCATCGCTCAGGCTACTTCTGGTAATTATGGCATGTGAGTTACCTCTGTTACACTAATCGGGTGTGTGCGTGGGTTTTTATTTCCAGTCCGTTCTCCGACTTCACTGTGGACGATTTCTGTGCACATATTGACGTGTCCACTGGTTGAGTCACTAGAAGGCGTAGCGTGGACCGATGACACACGAAGTGGAATTTTCACAGTGTGGGTTTTACTTCAAACTTCCGTTTACTCCTCTCTCCTCCCTCCTTCCTTGAAACGGGACTTACTAACTCCAGTTTGCCGTGAATCTTAGACCAACTCACCCACTCTCGCTCTCGAGTGCATGTCGCAGCTGCGTGACAGCTCCCTTTGACGGTCATCTTTTCAATGTTTTAAAGCGTGTTTGACACATCCATACCTGGGCAAGATAGCTGGGCACGTTTCTACCTACTGAGTGGTCAAAACTCGACATTCAGTTAAATTGAAAAGGACCCTTTTTCATGAGTTTTGATCCCACTATGACAATCCTGATTTATTGCTCACACGGGGCCAGGGTTGTTCTTCTTTTGTCTGACCTTTTAAGTCTCGCGAAATGCCAATTTAAATAACATTCAAGCTTGCTCGTGCAAAACAGAGAATTTTATTTTCTAATAATCAACATTTTATCATACTTTTTTGAAATAATCCTCCGATGCTGGGGCCTGTAAAAGTGCAAAATCTTTTTTCTTCACCTTTTTTATCTCCGATCAGGGAGTTGAAATTACACTTAATCTGAACGGTATAGCCCGATAAATAATTTGAAGTTTATTTTCGTTACTCTAACTTCCTTGTGGTTGCTTCATTTTAAACGCTCCCTTTTTTCCGTGCATTTTGAACCAAATTGGAAAATTAAACGACGCCCATAGGGCTTGGATATTTTGACACTGTTCTTCGCAGATTATCCAAATCACTTTTAAACAAGCGATGAGAAGAGCGCATTTGTTTACCTGGTGTATTATTCCCGAGCACTTTTGTCTTTGTACTTTTTTTGGCCTCTCATTTGCTTACCTATAGTAGTTGGCGAGAAGAAGGTCCTGTCGTATCTTCTCCAGCCATTTTGCTCATTTTCATCCGCAGCTTAGATCGGTCTTGGTGTTCTGAAGGGATCAGCGACTATTTTGGTTATGCTTACTTCTCCCTAATGTGGGGCGTGTGCACTCATATCCCATCACAATAAGTCTGGCCGAACCATGCTTGCTCTTTTTCATGTTTGCTGTTTCCGAGATTCTCATATTCCTATTCTTTGTATCAGTAAGAGGGTTCCTTAATCCTATTATGGTTACTTAGCCAATGCTCCTAGTGCTTATAAAACATTTAAGTTTAATGGAGGCGACTCCATTGTTTAGCGGTACAAACCGCTTGCTTCATTATGCGCGTCAGTAGTTGCAAAGCGCGATGCTATTTCAGCTCCAAGTGAGAAATACGACTTTCCTATCTGAATAGAAAGCATCCAAGAAACTGTTCCACTAATCCTTAATCTGCGCACTTCTTTTGTGTCTTTTTTTCCAGCTTATTGCGACGAAAATGGGAATAACTCGTCACACACTGCTCGCCCTCCATATTTTACTGCTAGATAATAAATTAAATTTTTGGTTTATGGCTTGCCCTTTTAATGACAGGCATAATTGAAATTCACAGCACATTCTTCAACTGTGTGCTTATGCATCGGGGAGGCTTGTGTTTGATTTACGCACAGTAAAAATGAAAAACAAAACTACTCACCAACACCACTTCCCTGGTTTTGTTATTATCTGTCACAGGTGTCTAGCAACCGCACAAAAAACCATTTTTATATGTTGGTGCATTTTTTATTCACAAAAAAATCGGATTTACAAACCACAAAAAGGTACTTGTTGCAGCTTTTACTAAAGTTGTAAATGCAGTGAAATAAAGGAAATATGCTTGCTTGTTTGAGTGACCCTCCCAACCTCTTTCCTTTGGCTTTCAAGCAACGTTGTGGCGGCCAAAATGATGGCTCGAATGGGCTACCGTCAAGGTCAGGGCCTGGGCAAGGAGGGTCAAGGGATGTCATCAGCTCTGGTTGTTGAGAAGACCAGTCGCCGGGGTGGCAAGATCATCCACGAGAGGGACCTTCAACGCAGTCAGGAAGCAGAGATGCTATCGTCTGTTGGTGGAGTGGGCGCGGAACAACAGCAAATGCCAACAATGCCACTCGACGCTACTGAGGTATGATCCTATTATTTTAAACGAAAAATGTATCTGCTTTTATACTCCACTTTGTGATTGCTTTGATATCGAAACACTCTAAAGATGTTATCGAGCCTACGGGTCTAGAAATGACTACAATTAAATGGAGAAGATCTAGATTTTTGTAGCTTGGGTGAGATGAGCTGAGCCTTTGGACCGTTAACTTATACGATTGAAATTATAGCATATGTGCTTTTTCAGACAACTCCGCTGAGATTCCTTGTCTAAGTTATTAGGACGTGATTTGTGAATTGCTGACCATCTGAACAGTAAACCATCCACTCTGCCTCAAGGCTTTAAAGGTCTCTGTTTGGCGGGCGCACGAAAGTGCAGTTTGTGGAGCCTCTCACCGCGGCAGCTAAGATAGCATGCCCTCTCTAGCTCATCATTGCTTTAATTAAACTTCTCATGTCCTCCTCGTCACCTCATCGGCGCATTCCACGGTCTTGCAGTAGAGTCGGTGTGCCCCTTAATTTCTTTAGAGGTGACTAGGGTGCCAGGATAAGACAAATTCTGCTTTTCGCCGACTTCTCACTATAAGAGCACATTTTCTGTGGATGACTAGAATCACAGAGCCAAAAGTGTAAATGCTTTAACTGTCGGCAGGAATTTACGGTCTTGAGTCCTACAATAATGATCTGTAATTAAGTGAGATCGTCTTAAAAAGAGGGAAAAGCCTAGAACAAATGCATACAAAGTTGGCATGACATTATTGCAGTTGGGATTATTGTTGAAATCGAAAGTCCTCTCACGGCGGTGGAGTTTTATATGCAGTCTTCTTTCCCGTTTCGCAACTGTTTTCAATCTCACATACCGCCGTACTGACTCAAGTAGAAAGGTGATCATGGGGTATACCGGGAACGCCGCAGTATGCAGCATTATGAAATATATTTGAATTGTACTTCAGCCCCCTCCTTCGCGTTTACATTAAACCACTTTTAGGCGGAAATGGACTGTATTAATATGGTCGTCGTTAATTCGTTTGTCACAAACAGTCCCGGCTTAGCTCAGCGTTCATTCGACTCCCATTATAGGTAGTGTTGCTGCAGAATATGTGCGGTGGACCAAGCGAAGTGGACGACGATTTGGAGCCTGAAACGGCAGAGGAGTGCGCCAAATACGGGCCCGTTGTTACCTGCATGATCTACCAAATGCCTGATGCCGGTGATGGACCCGAAGCTGTTCGCATTTTCGTCGAATTTGAGAACACTGAAGCTGCTGCGAGAGGTACTGCAACTATTCCTACTTATCATTTCTCTTCTTCAGCAAAAGATGATAGGGCTCTGGTCTCATTTGATTCTGCTTTCCTGATTCCGTTGGTCCATTTTGTGCACTTTATAGCGATAGACACCATTTAAGGTTTTGGTTTTATTACATGGTTTTTTTTATTTAGGGGATTGTCCCCTGTGTGCTGGTTGGTTTGATAGCATCGAATGGATGAAATCTTACTCATCAATCAGATTTGCCTAGATTGGCAGCAGAGAGGCGTGTTTTCGTTTGATCCACAGCCTTACAGAGAGAGAGCGAGAAATTCAGAGGGGATGGCGAAGACTTAACCGAGTCCAAATCGTACTTTTGCATAGATTGCTCACCTGGTTAGCACTCCTATCCTAAAAAGCAGGAAGGGGGCAGTGAACTTGCGTGCAGCACCTTCTATTGACCCCTTCTCCCCACTTGTGACCAGCTCAAATCCGGTGTTTTCGAGCGCCTTGGCTATCATTAGTCGTGTACCATAATCGAAGTGTCTGAGCGGTCGCTGCGGCCCTTCAATGACTATGTCCACACACAGACTTCCACCCTTTACTCGTTTTTTCTTTGGCCCCCGGGGTATGCCCCTGAATCAGGCGCCTTCATCTGAAATGCCAACTTGGCTCAAGTAATAATGCATGCGACCAACTGTGGCGAAGATAATTTGTTTATTCTTATGCCAAGTGCATGTTTTGTACGTCTAATGCGAGTTCATTTCTCGTATTTGTTGCGTTAATCTGTAAAAACCCACTTCATCTTTCCTTCATAGCCGTCTACAATTTGAACGGGCGATTTTTCGATGGCCGTGTTGTTCAAGCAGGATTTTATGACGCGGAGCGATTTAGAAGTTTGGAATTCTCCGATCCGCCTCTCTCGTAGCATCCCTAACAGCGCCTGTCCAACTGAACTCTCGCTGTCCCTACTTTGTGTGTGTGTTACTTGATCGGTGTACAGAATGCTTTGCTATACACGTCTTCAATTTATTTATTTGTGCTGGGCACAACAGGGTCATGTGCGGCTCCATTTTTAGCCTTCACGTGTGCGCCATTTTGTGGGTAAAATGTGGATCCAACGGGAGTGCGATCAGTATCTATGCTACTGTCCCGTCTTTGATGTTATATTATTATGAATGATGTTTAAATGGAGGCATTTGTTATGGTTTTACGGAAGTGTAAAGAAAAAGGAAACTTGGAGGAACTTTTACAAAAATGGAGTTTTGTTGCTGTGGTGATGTGTACTTCACAGTTAGTTCAAGGTGGGATGTGATCTTGCATCGGTGGAGTTTGTCACGGTCTGCTTGGTGTTCCTGCGCCGAGGTGGTTTGGAGCTAAATGTGGTTTAGCTGCGAAAGTCGGAAAGCCGCAGCAACAAATGTTAGTAACGACTTCTTCCCCATGGGATATTTCATGGCAGAAAAATCAATAGGAAATTCAGCGACCTGATCCGGTTGAAAAGTAACTCAACTTGGAGCAACGCTTATTGGGTGTATTTTGTGGTACTTTCCGAATCATCGTATTCTATGGTACCATCTTATGCGAATCCTTAGTGCAGGATAATTAGTGAAGATCCAGTATGTCTTTAGTTACAAACATATTCGTTTACAGATAAATTTTTGAATTCTAGACCCAAACAACGCAGACTCGTCATCCCTTATTTCGATCTCACCTTTACTCTCCCAACTATCTGCTGTTCCGCATGTGATTGTCTAATGGTGCTGCCGGAAAAGGCGATGATTACCTCAAGCTTAGGAAAATATCGCCAAGCGAATATGGAGAATGAGGGCGAGGGTGAGGGAGAAGCAGAGGTAATGTTCACCTCCTCCTCCTCCATTCCTCCCGCACTTACTTCTTCCCCGTTCTGAAACTCAAGTTTTCTCATGAGTGAGTCCTGTCAAAAGTGGTGTGGGGACTTGTGTTGCCTCATGAGAATAAGGCAACCGTGGTTGTTTGATCTTTAACAAATGGAAAAGTGAACTACTCACTAAATGATGCATCCGTCTGCGGTCCGTCGCACGCACACCAAAATGGAGCACAGCCTACAGGAAGTGAAGAGATGAGTGCCTTGGAAGTGCGAGTGGGTAGTGTATAATGTGTAGTGGGAAGTTGGGCAATGAGTGGGTGATTTATGGGTAACCAATGGATTGTATGCCTGTTCACTCAACGAGCGTCGGTACACAGAAGCACGGATTCCACTATTCATTACGTCAGTCAGTAGGTCAATCCATCAGCCAGTCAGTCAGTCAGTGATTACACAGCACATTCTCACACGGAGTAACGTAAGGATTTGTTGAGTCTTATTTTCACCTGCTGATACATCACTTTTGATTAGCACACATTGACTTATTTTCCACCCCTTCCCCTTTCCAATTGATATAGGTGCTAGCAAATGATATACATCGTTCAATAGTACCCACATTTTCATTTTTAATTACTTTAATCGATGATGACACGTAGTTATGATTAAGACCAGAGGGTTCAGAATCAAATTACTAATTTAAACCTGGTGCTTCTCTTGTTTAATCTCCCACGTCGACCTTCACAACATAGTCGGTGTTGTATGGAGAAACACCCCCCAATCAAACCTGCCAATTGCCAAGCATGCGCGTAACTGAAGAGGTACCTTTCTCCAAAGTAAGTGATTCCTCCTGGAAAAATCACTGGATCTGGAGTTCCGTCCTGTTAGGGAGATGTGCTGACCATCTCATGCGTCCATCGCTCGTCATAAGAACACTAGCCTACAAGTGGAGTCATCCAATAAAGGACGGAGTTAAACATATTGTAGTGGAGATAGAATTTCGCATCTGATGCTCCTTGCCACTTTGTTCTCATGTCGGCGCTGCCTATTCATATCTATCTGGACTCTAACCAGCTGGTGGAAAGGTGGAAGAGGTGTCACTTGTCCATTTGATCGACATCTTCATACAGATACCGTAGGTAGCTCTGTAATGAGCTTTTATAGACAGTTCATGGCTAGTGTCAATTAAGCTGCTAATAGCACTTCAGTAGAATATGGGACTGGGGTAGTTGCCGAAGTTAGACGTCATTTCCAACTCCTCCATTGGGGTCGTCACAGGTTTACCCCTCTCCAGCGGATGTTCTTCTTTACAACCACGTTCGTTTGCATTGTCTGCAGTGTAGCCCCTCAGGTCTTCTCTGAACAAGAAAGTGTATAACCAACGTATAGAATGGGTGAGGACTACCGACTTTGCTCGGTTGCTATGCTGCCAAGTGGAAGTACAAAGGCGGAGCCTTAGGCGCTCACGAAGCCAAAATGAAATGCTAAGCAATCAATCAACTTATTCTTTTCACTTTTATGCAAAATGAATAAAAAATTATTTAGCTTTGACATTGTGCTTAGTAGTTTACTGGCGGAGCCATATGCGTAGCTAGAAAAAGTCAGCTAAATCCTTTCAAAAATCCAGCCTAATTTAAATCCCCAAAATCTTTCAGGGGCTGAACTTGCCCAGTTTTAATTAAATGCAAAATATTTTTAGGTCGCCTGTTTCAAATTGGTATTTGAGGCGTTTTAGGCTACTCAATTGACACTAGTGAAAAGTAAATGCAGTCTATTCCCTCAAAGACGTGCTGACGGTTTTTTTTTTCCCTAACGGCAGCATGGACGGAGATGTGGGTAACTGGACAAACTCCAGAACTTGCTTTGATTTACCGACTACAAATGACTCAGGGTGAATTGTTTGACAATTACCGTGACAGCAATAATTTATCATTTAATTCTACGTACACATTCGTTGCATTTTTGTGCCGCCTCCTGATTGCTGTCTTTCGCGAAAAACTGGTTTACTTCTTGTTAACTGCGCCTTTTTTCGAGGAAGGATTAAAACCATGGGTTGTTGGCTGAACCTTTTTGCAGAACATATTTGAAATTCCTTAGTTGGTTCAACTAGTGAATTGATTTTGACAGAAATGATTGCGAAGAAATTTAGGCATTTGTAAGAAACCAGCCAATCTCTTTCTCTGTAAATAAGCACGATAGCAAAAATCGGATCCACTTCTGCCTAAAGTAGCCGATTTTATTCTAAAGAGGGTCTACTTTCGTCAGCTATTGTACAGTACTCGTCATCAAACCCCACGGAAAGCTGGGTTTTTTATTTAAACATTTCTGGTGACCCCTCTAATTCTATTGTTAAATCATATTAGGCTTTAGTTTTTGGGTTAAATGCACTATCCGACGTCAATGATGAAGTTGGTAGAAAGTAAAATCATACAAAATGTACTCGAGGTGCCAAAAAATCTAAAGGTAACTTGAGTATCATATCAAACATGCAAAATTTCCAGCAAGAACAGCACGCCATGCCACAACTGCTGGAGCCGAAACCTTGGACACTGAGAAATCTTGAAATTGTTTAGAATCGTAAACATCTCTTTACCCGTCTTAATGAAACATTCTCGAAGTATTCCCACTTCCGGCTCTTTTTTTTTCTCCTGATTAACTAGTAAAGGAGTGCCAATAAATCCCCTTTCCTGAAGGAAAACTTAAAAATTCGGAATCGCCATGGGCACATTAAGGCCATCATAGCATCAGGACTCACTCACTCCAGGCCCAGCCCTCGGTCTCCCGATACGCCATTTGCAGCAGTAAAGACATCCTCTCTGAAGGCCGCACTTTCTTACACCCTCTTGTTGAGAACGCGACAGCTCCCACCCCCATCCGCATACCTATAACCATAAACATGAACAATACAACGGCAAATCTGTTAGAATAGACTCGGAAATTTAGGATTAAAATGTGTAAAAGCCCATGTTCTACGGTTGTCATGTTCGCCACTGAGGAAAGCATATGACAGATGCATGTAATCCATCGAGGAGAAAGAGACTCTACCAAAGGTTAATCACAATTTAATTCCTTAATGTACAATTAATATTTAATGCGAACAAGTGAAATGTTTTTCAGATTAAAAATAAATGCATAGCGTTCTCTTTTTTTATCGACTTGATGGAATTCCTAAAGGGCCAAATAATTCACCGTAGATGTAATTAATGTAAGGTAAACACTTACCTTAAATGGACAGAGTTTCTACTTGCCTATGTTAGCTTGTTTCATCATGGTCTTAATAAACATGAAAAAGGCGGTAAAATTCATTCAGTGTGGGGAAATGGTGGAAGTTTTAACAAGACGGGAGTTTCCGCCAACGCACATGCACGCACACATACACACAAACGAAGCCATAACCTGACAGTGTGGCGGAGTCACGAATTCTCTCCATGACGCCAGTCGCAGTGGCGCCGGACAAATCTGGAACAATTTCTCAACTATAATGTACGCCTCAACATTAAGCAGAGGCACAACCTACAACAGCCTCTTGACCCACTAGCTTCCACTCCACACTTTTCCACTTCCTTTTTTCACAGCTTTAAGAAATGAAGACATTACAATGACATTTTATTCCTTGCTTGTCGTTTTTCAATTTTTTAAGCAACTCCTGAACTCAAGTCTGGAAGTAGATTGCAAAAGGGATAAGTGGGTTGAGCCAAGCACCCCGCTACTGCGATCCAAAAAACCTAACTCAAGTAAAGTATTTTAAAATCCAAATAATAAGATGTCTGGCAGTTTTTTGTCTTTTCCTGCTGAATAAAATAATTTTAAGTATAAATTTATCAATATTAATCACATTGAAAAATAGCGACCACATGAGGAAAATCACAATGAAAATTGCAGTCACTTCAGTGATTTTGATGCTCCAAATTTGAGAGGATAACAAAGGCCGGCGGTTCTTTTATTATAATTTGAAATGTCTGCGAGTGAAAGGCCAAAGTGCAGAAGAAAAAGTAAAGTCATCTCGGGAATTGTGAAATTTTAACCTTCAACATGATTGCGCAATTTAGCTCCTTGGAAGGCACTTTTTCTTTAAAATATGTAAAAGGTCTGTTAGGTGATAGTGGAAGTTCCCAGTAGGCTTGGAGTTCAAATTGCTTGCGTTGCGTTTATTTACTCAGCACTTATCACTGGCAGATATTACGTAAATATGGACAGATCTTATCAGTCAGTAAAGGAGTTCTTACGTAATGCGGAGTGCATGTAAATTTCCATGTAAGTGCTTTCCTCAAAAAAAAATGAAATCATGAAATAGGTTTCTTACGGTGGTAAGGGACTAAATGGTTGTGATGTCCAACCAACTGCGCCATCGGTCTGCATGGGAGCATTTAGTGACCTTTTGAATGCCCACCCAAAGCATACACTCTGACAATTAGAAAGTCTGACATTTGAAGGCGCAGAGTGAGGGAATATTCCCTAGATCCTAAAGGGCCATTATGATTGACAAGTACATATAGACTTCCTTTACATATACCTACAGAAGAGCTGCCTCTGTCGTGAGGTGGTTCTATCAGATGTGGTATCAACTTCTAGCAAGACAAAAAACGCTCTCAAGGTGCATTTCTTGCCGTTAGAATTGAGAGATTGGAAAAAAAACTAAGTGCTTGCAAATTTTAGATTAAGTCTATTTAAGCAAATATGTAGGTTGAACAAATAAGCATTCCCGAATGATCACGTTTACTTTATCTAATTACGAAGGAGGGACGAATGTTGGCATGCAGCTTTCTCTCTGCTCCACGGACCTTCAAAATTGGTCAAAAGGGAAGTAGATCTTGAAGTCTTCTAAGTGACCCAATTAATATTATTCTTGGAAAGGAGACACTCCTAAGTGCGTCTCAGTGCTATTGATACGATGTTAAAGAGGAAGTATAATCTGTTCTGGTGGGAAGAATGGCGAAAGCTTTTAGCGGTGTGGCAATCAGATTACTGCTGGATAGCTCGCAAAGTCTACAGCTGAGAAGATAGATTGACTGGGAAAAGAGGAGGACAGATGACCCTATGCCACCGTGCAGTAAACAAATCGAGATA